ACTAGATGAGTTAGTGAAAATTTACATATACTTAACAAAAACATTATATATATGATAACCCACATCTTAAGGTCAAATAAAAGTCTGTACTGAACACTACAATATAATCATTTACAAAGAGACTCCTTACAAAGGGCTGGGGACTTAGCTCAGCATCAAAGCGCCTGCCTAGCAAGCGCAAGGTTGTGAGTTCGGTTCCCGGTACTGGAGAAAAACAAAAAAAAAAAAAAAAAAAGAGACTCCTTACATCATTACACTGGTCCTTCCTCTGCCAATCCCAAAGGGTCAGCAAACGAAATGACAAGCTGAGCGTGTGGCACACGCCTGTAGCCCCAGCTAGGCAGGAAGCTGAGGCAGGAGAACCACCAGTTGTAGACCAGCCTGGGCAAAAACAACAAAACCCTGTCTCATTAAAAAAAAAAAAAAAAACCAGCAAGGAAGGAAGGGAGAAAGAGAGAGAGAAGAGGAGGGAAGGGGACAGGAAAAGGAAAAAGCAAAACAAACGCTCTTCTGCACACAGATTCACAGCACAGCAATGCCCGGCAGCACTACAGCCCTCTGTGTCTCCGCTCTGCCCTCTTCTACTCCACAAAGCTCCTCCGCACTCTGCTCCACTCCTCGCCCACCCATCACGCTCTGTGGTTTTCTCCAACCTGAGCACACGGCACCCCTAACCCTGGCTTTCATCCTCACCTCCACTCTCTGTGGCCAACGCTGCTTATTTCAAACGTCCCCCCAAAGTGTAACTCTTTGGGTGAGGATCTCCAGTTCAAGGTCTTTCATAACATTCATCCAAAGCTCCTTCTGCCAGGACTCCCTCATAAAACTGCTGAACAAGGAGTATGTTCAAACTCCTTCACTCCCATCTCTTTAAGCTTAAGACAAAACTGATTTTTCCCTAAAACAAAGCCTCGATTTTTACCTTCTCCATTTTCAAAGGGTCGCAAATAAAAGTAATGCAACTGTGCTTCAATCTACACAATAAATTTCCAATTCTTCTAATAATGCTGGAAAACACTAAATGACAAAATGACCTTACATAGGTGAACATTGGGTGTTGACAGAGAAGCCCTGCCTTCACTGACCATGCCTTTACTGACCGCTTCACCCTGGCACTCGGCTCAAGCCCTAAGGAGATAGCAAACGCTGCTGCACAGGTGGAAACTGCCAACTCTAAAAAGTATTTCACTACTAAAATAAGTAACTCCATCCTGGGAGCTGTTACCAAAACATAACATAGGACAATGGGAAGAATATTCGAAGTCTCACTTCATAGTCTACTTCAAGGTCCTGGTTTCAGGAACTGGGTTACCAGTATAGGAACCCAATCAGATGATCCTTGCAGTATTTTCCACTCAAAATCAAAATAAGATAGTACGCCTGTAGGCTATCTCCCAAAGGACAGAGAAAACTAAAACTTGAGGAGAAAAGTAGAAACGCTTTGAGGAAAGAGATTGAACAGCTAGCTATCTGGGGATATCAAATACTGTCATTTGCTCTTCTGTGAAAAGTTAAATTTGCAACAAGTACATTTCAGAGAGGTCCACGAAAACAGTCAGAATCCTTGCTCAAACAGAAAGAATCTGTTTTCAGTTCAGGAGGGAGTGAGCAGAAAAATAATAGATATGAGGCAAGGAAACAAGGACAGAAGAAGAAAGGAAACCTGAATCTAGGGATGGGATATCAGCAAGGACGGAAAGGGCAACAACCACAGCAACAAGCGGGTTAGGAAACACAAGCCCTGTAGCAGGGTACAGCAAACAGCCGGCGAAGGGAAACTTGCGGCGATCTGAAAGAATCACTAGTGAGGCACTAGAGCATGCATCTTCTTTCTACTTTTCTTCTTATTCAATCATAAAGGGTTTTAAAGACCTCTGTGGAAGTAGCAGCAATAAGATCCCATCATCTTGAATATAATGGTGAGAAGGGACAGAAACCAAGGTAAATCTGTAACAACATAAGGCTACTTTACTGATACGAAGTAAGATGACGAATGAACAATAATTGCGTTTTAACCCATCACTAACTTGTGACAAATGCCAGCATAAATTCAGGTTGAAAATACAAAGGGAAATGTGTTTATAAAAATTATACTAACCCAAAGAAGTATGAAACCCATTCCAAAGCCATCTCCTTATCCTGGCCGCACTTTACCAGACTCTCTGCACTTTAACATTTGAAGTAAGACTGCTCAGAATCATTAGTCTCACCTGGAGTCCCAGCACGGGTCCTCCACTCCCCCCAGCTCTGCATCTTATCTCATCCTTCATAGACACGGTTTCTCCAGGAGACACGAGAGGAGACACACACAGCCCTGAAGGTCATGCTGTCACTGCAGAGGTCACAGCAGCTCTGTGCTGCACGTGGAGGTGCTCAGAGGGTCCTCATGACTACACACAGACGGCCGGGCTCCCAGGTGCGCCCTGCTCCGCGTGTGCTGCACACACACTAGAGAAGCCCTCTATGCACACAGCTGACACCCCTGTCACAAAGGCCCCGTTCTCCTCCCCAAGATTTCCCACCCTAACTCTCCTCTGTCCCACTCTGAACTAAGCAGCGCTCGTTTCCCTCTGCCGCATTCTGTGCTCCATTGCGAAATTTTAATCTCTCCTTTGATCTTAAAGACCAGAACCATATCCTGTTTCTCCATAAGCAGCATGCACCTACTACAGTGCTGCCTGGCTGATAGGAAACTTAAACACCTGCCCCCTGAGCGAATGCCCTCAGCCGCTGAAGGCTACACAGTTATAAACTATGGCCTCCTAGGCCAAGGCCAAAGTCTCTGAGGAAGCAGATACGCATCTTTATTAGTTCACCTGTACAAAATCTGAAATCTAGCAGATACCTTGTCTCTGCAAAGATCAAAACACTCATAATATACTTAAAAGAGATATTTTACATCACATATTTAAAGTGTCCTATTTTAACAGTGATATTTGCCATCACTTAAAAATATTAACGAACACAACATACAATTCCTAAGGTAAAACTAATGCGTTAAATAAAGTATCAAAAATGAAAGGCAACTTCATCAATTAAAACATTTAAATATACTGGTCTTAATGTAAATAATTTTAAAGCTTTTATTTTTGACTTTTTAGTTTTGGGGTTTGGGGGGAATTTTTTTAAGACAGGTGTGGTTATGTAATTCAAGTTGGCCTTCAATTCACTAGATAGCCCAGGCTGACCTCAAACTTGCAGTGATCCTCCTGCCTCAGCGTCCTGAGTGCTGGGATTACAGGTATGTGTCACCACACCCAGTCTCCAAAACATTTTTCAGTAAGAACTTAATTAACAAATAGGTAAATGGCAGAATAATTGGGGGAATGGTCAGCATATATTCTAGTTTACTTTTTAAATCATTCTTTTCTCAGCAGTGCAGCACCTGGCAAGCAGAAGGCCCTGAGCACCAAAAAAAAGGAACAAAGAAAAAAAAGACCAAAATAAAAAAAGAATTTTTTCTCTCAAGAAATTAAAAACTAAATAAATTTAATTTTTTAAAACTATTCTTCTATATTTACTAAGCCAGTATAAAATACATAAATTAAATACCATGAAATTAAGTAAACCTGTTTACTGAAATATTCTCGAACCACAAAACACAGAATGGACTATATTGTAAAGTGCTTTAGACTTTCACCATTATAAGTAACTTATAAGCTAAACACAGAAAAATACTAGCAAAAATAGAACTCACATCAAAAAGAATTATTTTCAAACCTGATTGTGTGTTTTATTGGTTTTTGGATTTTGTTTTTGTTTCAGGGGGCTGTTGGGGTACATTCTTGTATTTTGAGATACCGTCTCCCACATTCCCCAGGCAGCCTTCCAGTTCCGGGGTTGAAGCAATCCTGCCTCAGCCTAGCGAGCAGTCAAGACTCAGGTGCTCACCACCAGCCTGGGTTCAGTACTTTACAAACATTTTCCTTTGCTTCAGTTTGCTTATTGTGTAGATCATGCCACTAATAATCAAAACTAACAAAGCACACATGCAGTACTTAAGGCAGAAACTACACTCCCCAGCGTACTACTACTTGTCTGTTTCCCAAACTACTTTAAAACTTGCAGTTCTTTCTAAATTCCACTAAGTCAGAATGAGTGTCTTTGTTCTGTATTTCATTAAACACACTGTGTTTTGTCGAGTTTCAGAACGTTCCCCTAGGTCTTAGCCTTCAAATCGTCTGTTCCTTTTAAACATAAAGTCTGTGTTTCAAATAACCAACAATGTCTATGTGAAGAATTATTCCAGAAACTGTATTTTATCAATTTATTTCATTAAAAAATCTTTGTCATTCAATTCTGATATGTTCCTTTAAGAAAGATATTACTTCGTCATCAAAACAAATGAAATACTTTTCTCACCTTTCACAGTGATTGAAAACCAAAAAGCTCTAACACAGAGCTGCTCTGGCCAGGAGACTACACCGGCAAATCCGCGCTCGGAAAGAGGGGCCTGCGCCAGGCAGGACGCACGCGCCGGGCTGGAAGGCTCGGAGGGAACTTCAAGACAGCGCGGGTCTTCAGAGCGACCGCGGGCAAGACCACTGCACAGAGCCGAGCCGGGGAGCAGCTCTCACAGCCGGCTCGGCTCGGCCCGGGCGCGGGCGGGAACCCCGAGCGTCCCTAACCGCCGGGAGGGAGGCAGCAGCGCTGCGGTGCCGGCGCCGGTGCCCGGGCGGGCAGGCCGGGACGGCTGGGTAACAGAGGACGACGACCCGCTCCGCACCGGCTGCACCGCGCGGCCCACGGAGGCGGCGCGCCGTGCTTCGGCCACGTTCCGTCCCACACGCCGCCTAACACAGCTGTGCCAGCCTCAGACCCGGCAGAGCTGAGCGCGCCCTCCACCAGCAGCCGCGTCTTGCAGGCCGGGGCATCCCTGCAGGCCCGGGCACCCTGCGGACCCGGGCACCCTGCGGACCAGGGCACCCTGCAGACCGGCGAGCCCAGCGGGCCAAAGCGGCAGTGCCAGCTGCGCGAGTCCCTCCCAGGGGCTACCTTACCTTTCTCCAGCACCTGCTGGGAGACGCAGAATTTACTCAGCCGGTCACGATGCACGTCCAACCCTCACCAGTGGCAACGCGGTGACTACAAATGCTACATCCTAGAAGGGTGTTTCTGCCAGCTCACTAGTCCCCGCAGAAAAAACTCCTGCAAAAACACCACCTTCTTACTAGGCATAAACAGTATCAAAGTGTAATCTTGTTTTTTGTTTGTTTTTTTGTTTTTTGCTTTTTGTCTTTTTCACACAGGCTCTTGCCATGCAGTTCAGGCTGACCTCAAACTCTCAACAATCCTCCTGCCTCAGCCTCCCGAGTGCTGGGGTTACAGGTGTGCGCCACCACACCCCGCTCAAGGTGTAATCTTGTATACTTACAATAATTCCCTACCTAAAGTGCTTCCACAAAGCACTGCTAGTACTTCACAAAGGGGGAATTCGGATTAACATGTAGAAGACAAGTACTACATGAAAAATGAAAATAAACCGGGCATGGTGGCACACACCTGTGATCCCAGGGCTGGGAGGCTGAGGCAGGAGGATTGCCACAAGTTCAAGGCCAGACTGGACCCACATAGTGAGTTTAAGGCCAGCCTGAACAACAAAGTGAGACTTTGTCTCAAAAAATAAAATAAAATAAAATAAAAATAGACCCATTATGTTAGCCCATTTTAATAAAGTCACATAAAACATTCATTCTGTAATAGAGGGAATACTCTGGTTTCTCTTCAGATCATATAAATCTTTCCCCTTTTTCTAAGAGAGGAAAAAAAAGGATTCAATATAAACTGAAAGGATATCAGCAATTTGCTGATAAGGTACACGAATATATGAAAAAAATCCCAAAATGAAAGATAAATTTATTCAAACAATTGGTCACTGGGAGTCTATCTGTTATTTACATCTGTACAGGGGTTTGTTTAATATCAATTCAGTAAGTCATTAGCACAAAAACATTAAACTATCATGCTTTTACAGTAACCTTGGAAAAAATAATTCATAGCCATTTTATTATGTAAAATAAAAGACAAAAAATGTGTAAATATATATCCATAAAAACACATCTGCTTGGGAGTATCGATGAGCATTCATCTACATATACACTGAGCAATTACTAGGAGAGGCTATAGCAAGCTATTACAGAACTACAGTAAGAATAACCATTCTTCTTTATACCAGAACAAAAGTTAGAGAACCCAAGAGTCATAAATTCTAGGTCTGCAAAGGAAATTTGCCAGTTAGCTTATAACGATGAAAATGCATTTAGTTTTTATGGCTTTTCTCCTTTCCCCAAAAAAACTCGTGATTTTCTTCTTGTATGTAGAAAGATCAAAGATTCTTACTCATTTTACTTGGTTACATGGACTCTCTGTAACCAGCAACAAAATGAGTTGATTTTGTAGGGGCCGTCAGATTTTTCAAGGTCACTGGTGAGCGCAGGAAGGTGTTTTAGAACCCTCTTACCACCGCGGCACGCTGTTCTCTCTCCTGTCTGTTCCCATCACATGCCCTCATGACACAGAACCTCTCCTTTGAAGCGAAGCCATACAGTACTTTTTGTCCATGCTAGGCAAGTACCCTCCCACGGAGCTACACCCTCATCCCTTTTTACTCTTAGACAGGGTCTCACTAAATTCCCCAGGCTGGACTCTAGCTCAGCCTCCCAGAGCGCTGGGATGACACGTGTGAGCCGCTTTGCCCAACTTCACACACAGAATTTTAATGTCTGTCTCTACTGGAAAACAAGACTGATGATGGTGGAACTGCATCTGTTCTGCTCACCAATTCATCTCTACAACGTGGCACTGTGCCTGTACACGGTAGGCAAAAGGCTTTAAATGAATAAATGAACCAACTGGTCTAAAAAAAATCTCAAAATGCAGCTAACGATAAAACCTTCCTGTTTTCATTTTAAAAAGTGCTGATTGACACATTATTATCTACTGCATCTACAAACATGTCTGAATGGTCTCTTCAGCCTCCTTTCTTTCAATTTAACCAGTTCCAGCTTCCTGAAATCTCCACCATGTTGCTCCTCCTGTGAACCTGTGTCTCTACAAGGGCTGAGCTGTAAGTTCAGCACTAAGCCAAACATTCTGCTTCATATTTTCTGCTCAGTATCACTGGAGGAATATTCATAATCTTGTACAACATTTGGCAAAACTCAACCAAGTGTTTACATAAGCACTCACATATTAACAGCCTGCCCTACCGGAATATAAAATTTCAAGTTGCTAATCGTGTTTCACTCTCACATTAACACTAGTAAAGCATTTGTACCAATGTATTACTTCACTGCTAACAGATTCTAGATCATAATTATGGCACTTAGTCTGTTTTCCAGTTACTATCAAAACACAAATAGAAATAATTATTCAGTAGCCCCCCATCCATGGCCTCACTGTCCATGGTTTCATTTTCCTGCAGTCTGAAAATATTAAATAGCAAATTCTATCAAGAAAGAGTTCACCGTTTTCCATTCATGTCAGTCTGAGTAGGGTGACGAATCCCACGCTGTGATGCCCCACCCAGATGTGAACCCCTGCACCCGTGTGTCTGTGCTGCACACACCCGTCAGTCACTCAGCCACCACCGTGCCTGCTCTCGGCTCTTGGAGGGGCCCACAGCACCTGTACTCAACAGCCCCCAGCACAAAGGGAGTGAGGCTGCTATAATTCCTCTACTTTACCACTGTTAGATTGAACTTCTTCACAGATCTGTACATACAGGAAACAACTCACAAAAACATGATTTGCTACTCTCCAGTTTCAGGCATTCACTGGGGATCCTGGAACATACCCCTCCCAGACATGGGGAGTCTACTGTATCCCTCCAAAGACCTTCTAAAAAATCAAGCAAATATACTTTTAAATTCAACTCTTTGAACAGAGTAATTGAACAATATACTTTAATAATTAGTAGATTTATTGAAATTGTAAGATTACCAACACAGTTCATATACGGTCTCAAAACTTTAGCACCTCTGGGATGAGGATGTAGCTTAGTGGTAAAGCACTCATGTCCAGCACCACACACACACAAAAAAAGAAAACACAAAAACAACTCTAACACATCATGAGAGGCCCCAGTATCACCTCCATCCTGTAAGAAGTCACGATGACTTAATGCCCACCTGATGGCAAAATATAACACAATAAGCCAACAATATTCCACAATACTCTGTGTCTTCAACTAAAAATATGACTGCCACTTGATTCATCTGTACTTGACAGGCCTCAAAATCCTCTTCAGAGGTGATTTCTCCACGTGTTACCGGCTCCCTCTGTTTCCAGCACTTCCAGAACCAGGCTACTCCATCTGTCTGAACCGATTTGAATCATCTCCCCATCAATACTGTCTTTTTGGCAGTAAGGTTAATCAAACCTACCTAAAACAAAATGTTTTCTTCATATTAAAACTTAGGCAAGTAGTCAAAATGGAGACTTTTCTAGTTGAACAATGAACACTTACCTAAACTAGGCTATTCATATTTTTTAAGAAAAGTTCACTCTTGAAGTATGTGAATAGTAAAGATTAAAATGTGTTAGAGTTCGTGAGAGTATGTCCAAGTGTATACAAGCACCGCTGGTCAAACAGCCCACATCTCCAGAAGATGGAATACAAATAGAGAGCAGTTAGATTAGACATGAATTTTTTGAAGAACAGGTGACAAGAGATGTTACACAAACTTCATCTCAGGAGCTCTTCAAATCAAGAATAAAACACGCATTTGACATGTTTTAAGTGGTTTCGGTACAGAAAACAGATACTCCACAGAATTAGCTCCTACTTTCACATTTTACGACGAATGTACCACTTTAATAATCTGAATGATTCTTAAGTCTACATCACAGCATGTATTGTTTTTTCAAATCCTGTACCAGACACCACATGTTTAATGATCAATGTACAAAAACTTAATTTGCATGTATGTGTTACTAAGGACTGAATCCAGGACCTTCACCAAGCTACACTCCCAGACCCTTTTTTATTTCTTATTTTGAGATAAGACATGGATACATCACTAAGTTGCCTGGGCTGGGTTCAATTAGATCTTCTTGCTTCAGCCTTCCAGAGCTCTGGGCTCACAAGTACGCACCACCAAAACTAGTTCAAAAATTTTATTTTTAAAATATCTTGGTCCAATAAATTAAATTAAATAATTAAATTAAATTAAATTAAAATATCCTGGTCATAAAAGCTCCCTGAGTATTTGACAGGTAAGTAAATTTTACTTACAGATTTAACACACAAAAACTGAATTTTTGAAATGTTCTAATTACTAGAGTTTCCTCTATACTTGACAGAAAATTTTACACAGATGTAATATTTTTTAAAAAGAGAGAAACAGGAGCGGGCATGGTGGCATAGCCTGCAGTCCTAGCACTCGGGAAGCAGAGGCAGGGGGACTGCTGTGAGCTCAAAGCTGGCCTGGGCTACATACTGAGCTCAAGGCCAACCTGAACTACATAGCAAGACTCTGTCTCAAAGACAAAAAAAAAAAAAAAAAAATAGACCAGATAAGTGAAAACCCGACATTCTAAAAGTGGAGGTAAGGATGGGCATGGTGGTGCTTGCCTGTAATCCCAGCACTCACGAGGCTGAGGCAGGAGGATCACCAGGAGTTCAAGGCCAGCCTAGCCTACAGAGAATTCAAGGCCAGCCTGAACTACAGAGTGAGACCCTGTCTCAAAAACAAACAAACAATAAACAAATAAATGAATAAAATAAAAGTTAAAAAAAAGATGTACACATTTGCAAAAGACATGGCTTTAAAAATGCTTGACAGTAAAGTGAGGAGGTACAATATAATTTCTGCAGGACATTCATTTTTTTACAAATGAGAAACAGTTTCACCAATTTAACTGTAAAAATGGAATTTGTAAATCATATAGTATTTTTGCAAATATACTATTTGTTACAATTTCTGGTTTATCGCAATATACTGTAAGTGAAAGGTTTTTATTATTTCACTTCATCTTTGTATTTTTTACTCAGAATTTAAAAGCTCTGGCACTTCCCCTGATCAATAGTGTAACACTCAGTGTTAATGCAGAAAGAGGGCTCCACAGAAGCACCGCTGCCGAACAACGCCTGCAAAGCTGCTCCAGCCGGGCCTGACGCC